ATTTGGGTGGCTCAGATTTTCTTACCAAGGTTATAGAAAAGGAAAATGCAGGTTGTTTTGACTTAAGAAAAGATTCAGGAAGTAAGGTTGCTTATTATGCTCAAGGATTGCAACACTATCCACCTACACAGGCCCGAGAGAGAGGATGGGATGGAGCACATGGAGCCCGTGGAAGGGGTGTTCAAAGAAGGGCAAGGGGACAGGGGTAACCAAGGAGGAATAGACAGGAACACTTGTTTCAACAGTGGTCAGCATGGCCACTGGAGGAATGAGTGTCCACACCCCAGTAAACCCCAGCCACCCCAACAACCCCACAATTATCAAAATACGCCCAGTAGGCAAGAACAACACCAGGCTCACTCCCAACACCACTGGCCAGCACTTCCCCCCTCGCTCCATCAAACCCAAACTGCACTAGGGCCATTCACAGGTACCACTGACCAGCACACTCATCACATCCCATGGCCCCAATAGGGCTGCCTTGAAGGTGACACTCCAACTTTTCCACTTTTGTCCCCTACTAATGATGATCAGCCTTTTTGCATTCTGGTCATAGAAGGTAGATCCTTGCCATTTTGGTAGATACTGGAGCTACGTGTTCCAGTCTCTGTGACACCTATTATCAGGGGACAAGGGAAAAGTCTACATTTAAATGTCCTGTTAGTTTGCTGGGAAGGGATCTTCTTGGTATTCTGGGAGCTACCATTACTTGCACACCCTCTGGTGGTTAAAAACAATACAAGAAATGGTGGATTGGCGCTATAGAGCCAGAGAATATGCAACTACCCCCAGTGCCCAAAATCACTAAATGGCACTCAAATACAAAGTGATAGAAAAAAGAATACAAGGGGGGTGCACATAGAGCAATAAGAAAGTATATTATACTTAATATAAGTAGGACACCTCCTGTTAGACCTATAATAGAAAAACACATGTATAGTGTAACACTGTTATATACAAGACATCAATTGGTCACAGGTATTGGGTCACTCACAGTGTGTAGAGCCACATAAAGCTGGCTCTAGCTTAGGTGGCAGGTGAATAATAAGCTTATTCTGGCTTTCAATTTTCAGCTTTCCAAGTAGCTCTGCTCCTTTTCTCCGCCCTTTAATAACTTCCAGGACATCCAGTATCAATAATCAAAAGTGACTTTACTGGTTAAAATAAAGGATACAAAAAAAGCTAAAATAACATAACAAAATACACAGCACTAACGCATTTCGACCTCCAGGTCTTTATCAAAGTGTGTGGTGAGTGTTGGTCTTCTTCCTTTTAAATGATATTGGCTGTAGAGAGACCCCCTAAAAAGCATTACCAAAGTCAAGATTGGATAGAGGTAAGAAAGAAAAATAAATATGAGAGAGAGAATCAATATAGAGGAAGATCAGTTCAATGAGATTATAGTAAACTGGAAAGATTTCCCACTATTCATAAGAGGAGAGCTCAAAGGGAATCTGATAACCAAAGAAAAATATTTACCCCACAAAGAAGGGAAACTTCTACATATAATCGTTTCGAACCCATTACTAATTTGGGAGCCAATGAAGAGAAATCTTTTTTAGAGAGGGGTTGGAGAGAACCGCATACGAGAACACCAATTGCGACCAAAAGAAGACATTTAGATATAGAAGAAAGGGAAATAGAGGAGGGAAGAAACTGGAAAGGCCAAAAAGGAAAGATGATGAGGAGATAAGAATTTTTAATTTATCTAAGAAAGTTTTAAATCCTGCACATATTGAGATTTTAAATAAAGGTCTAAAATTTGCACCTAGTTGTACCTTGGACAAATTCGAGGCATACACAGACATAAATAGGTTTATGAGAAAACTTTGTTTAAAAACATTTTTTAATGATAGACCGAGCAATGAAACAGGGTCTAGTACTTCTCCAACTTCAGAATATAAACAGACCAATTTGAAACAAAAATCTAAATTTTATCCTATTCATCTTAAATCTAATTGTATGAAGGTATTTGAAAGAGCTTGTATTAAAGATATAAAAGAAATTAAACCAAATAAAAGAAATAATCTTACAATTCAAGAAAAGAATGCTATGGAAGATTTTAAAAAAGATACAACCATAGTTATAAAACCGGCAGACAAAGATGGAGGAATAGCAATTATGGATAGAGATAACTATACTAAAGAAATATATCGTCAACTTAGTGATATAACCACTTACAGAAAACTTGAAAAAAATCCCCAAAATGATATGAAGAAGAAATATGAAAACTATCTTAATCAAGGATTAAATAAGGGTATCCTTTCTCAGAAAGAGTATGCCTTTTTAAATGTTAACCAACCACGAGTACCGGTTATCTACACTCTACCAAAGTTGCACAAAAACATACAGGATCCCCCAGGAAGACCTATTGTCTCCGGGATAGGATCCTTGCTGTCCAACTTATCAAAGTATGTAGATACCCACCTTCAACCTATTGTCAAAACTAATACCTCATATCTCAAAGACTCAATGAGTTTATTACAAATTTTAAATAATTTTAAATGGGAAGATGATTTTATCCTAGTGACTTGTGATGTCATTAGTTTATATACTAGTATTGATCACCTCCTGGGCTGTGAAGCTACTTGTTACTTTTTGGAGATATCTGCACTTTATCCCTCGGACCAAGTTGATTTTATTATGGAGGGAATCTTGTTTATTTTACAGAACAACTTTTTTTGGTTTGAGGAGAATATTATTTACAATGCAAAGGGACGGCCATGGGGACCAGGTTCGCACCCAGCTATGCAAACCTCTTTATGGCTTATTGGGAAAAGAGGTTTGTTTATTCTATGCATGACTGGTGTGCGAATCTGGTCCTCTATAAAAGATATATTGACGATATCTTTTTTATTTGGAAAGGAGAGGAAACACAGGTTTTAGCTTTTTTAAGTTTTTTAAATGATAATCAATGGAATATCCAACTGACCCAAGAGATCAGTAATAAGAGAATTAATTTTTTAGATTTAGAGATCTATATAGAAAATCACCAAATTAAGACAAAAACTTTTTTCAAGAAAGTGGATGTGAACAGTTACATACATACAAATAGTTGCCACCATCGGGCTTGGTTGGAGAACGTTCCAAGGGGACAGTTTTTAAGACTCAAGAGAAACTGTTCGGACTTGGAATCTTTTAACGACTAGGCCGATATTCTTAAACATCAATTTTTACATCGAGGATATGGGTTAGAACATTTGAATAAAGAAATAGATAAGATAAAAAATTTAGATAGAAGTACCCTTTTAACATATAAACAAGAAACGGAGAAGACAGAGAAAGAAGGGGAAACGATACCATTTATTTTTAATTATAGTAAAGATCAAAGACAATTAAAACGAATCCTTAATAAAAATTGGCATATTCTCCAACAAGATCATGAAATTTTGCCTTTTTTAGAAGATAAACCTAAAGTTATATTTTATAGTTATAGTTTGAAAAATATACTTACTAAAAGTTATATAGATATACCGAAAAGTAATTTTTTAGAACTATACAAAGATACCAAAAAAGGATTTTTTCATTGTGGAGATTGTATGGGCTGTAGGAACCATAAACAAGTTAAAAAGGTAATTAGTTTTAAATCAAGAGCAGGAAATCAGACATATAAGATAGATTCATTCATTTCCTGTCACTCAAAGAATGTGATTTATATGCTCACGTGTCCTTGTGGGCTACAATATGTGGGTAAAACATCGAGATGCCTAAAAACAAGGATACGTGAGCATATTTATAATATTAGGAGGGGTTTTCTGAATCATCATGTATCGCTACATTTTCTAAAATGCCATGGAGGGGACCCCTCTGGACTCCAGTTTTTTGGGATACAAGCAATGGAAGCCCACTGGAGAGGGGGGGACCTACAATCGGCCCTGAGCCGTTGCGAAATGAAGTGGATATTTAACTTGGACACTTTGTCCCCTGGGGGCCTTAATGTTGACTTTGAAATATCAGCATTAATTTAATTTTAATTTTAATTAGCTACATGGCTTTTAGATATATAAAAATATTTTCTAAAAATGTTTTATATAAAACAAAATTAATTTTTAAATTTTTTAGATTTTCATTTTAGAATTTTTTAAATATTGTTCACAACATTTTTTAATATCTAATTTTTATATATTTTTAGATGTTTTTTTATTGTTTTAGTTAACTAAATGAAATTAATTTATGCTATGTTATTTTTTGCAGGATCCCTTCTCTCTATTTTTCCCTCTTAATATAGAGATTTATGAATTATACTGTGTGCTATATCTCTATAAGATGAAATGTTCCTCAATATAAATGAAATGTATTACAGTTACCCTCCTAATATTATAAAGATGCTGCAATTGGGCTCTTATGTATTTTATTTGATTTATATATATGTATATGTGTAAAAACATTGTAAGATATAAATTGGTCTTTCTAGCTGTTTTTGTATGTAAAGGTTTCTTTCCCACTTCAAATATGGCGCTAGATGCCAGGACTATTAACACATGTAAAGGGAATGAAAGGAAGACCGAAAATCCGGAAATGACGTCAAGACGCATGAGCACGTGATCGGACGGGGGTCACGTGACGCGGAAACACGGCGAAACCGGAAGTAAGGACGGACGCCGGCAAAACGGCGCCAGATTTGAAGAGGAGAATATCATTTAAAAGGAAGAAGACCAACACTCACCACACACTTTGATAAAGACCTGGAGGTCGAAATGCGTTAGTGCTGTGTATTTTGTTATGTTATTTTAGCTTTTTCTGAATCCTTTATTTTAACCAGTAAAGTCACTTTTGATTATTGATACTGGATGTCCTGGAAGTTATTAAAGGGCGGAGAAAAGGAGCAGAGCTACTTGGAAAGCTGAAAATTGAAAGCCAGAATAAGCTTATTATTCACCTGCCACCTAAGCTAGAGCCAGCTTTATGTGGCTCTACACATTGTGAGTGACCCAATACCTGTGACCAATTGATGTCTTGTATATAACAGTGTTACACCCTCTGGTGGTATTGATGTGTCTATGTTGTGTTCTGAAACTATTGATTTGTCTGATGTTCCTTCCTCTGTGTGGGCTTCATCTAAGCTAGATGTAGGATTTGTCAACTGCACCCCTTACAAAGCCAAACTAAAACCAGATGTAACTCCTATCTACCTTAAACAGTACCCCCTGTCAGAAGCCAAGGCTGAGGGAGTTCGCCCCATGATCCAATCTTTTCTAGAGCAGGGAATACTAAAGCCATTAGTTTCCCCATATAACACACCTATTAATCCAGTTCCTAAAGGTAATGGTTAGCACTTAGTTCAGGACTTTAGAGCCCTGAATAGTTTAATTGTGCCCATTGCACCCATTGTCCCTGATGTGACATCCCTCATTACAGCCATTCCACATGATGCCACTTGCTTCACTGTCATTGATTTAAGTAATGCATTTTTTGTGGATTCCCCAGCCATTTTTTCTATACCTATTGATCAAGAGACACAGCTACATATGGCTTTTACTTTTGAAGGCTGTCAGTATACCTGGACATGCTTACCCCAAGGCTATGTGGATTCCCCAGCCGTTTATTCGCTGGTACTCCAACATACTCTAAAAACATGGACCCCCGGTCATGGTTCCGTCCTTTTGCAATATGTTGATTGTGACGAGAGCAATCTCGCCACATTGCATTGGAGAAGCCTGGTTGCCCGCCTGCTGCCTTTAGACTATGGCCCCATGTTGAAACGCTTGATTTTCCCCTGCAGAGACACGAAAGCCGGGTCATTCCCTGTTTGAGCGGTGATACCCCAGATAGCTATGCCATGGAGCCCATTCGTATAATGAAAGACTATGGGAAAGACTTTGGCTCCATGGCAATTGAACTGTATGTGTGTGCTCTGAGCGCCATTCAGTAATAATGTGCGCTCAGATCTGAGCTATCTGGGGATATGTTGAATGTACCTGTTTTGTGCAATGGCTGCACAGTTATATTTTTTTATGTGTTTTATTGTCTTTTGCTGCCATGTGTTCAATGGAGTTTTGCCTCTGTCCTTTGAGATAATTGGATTACTTCCCAATTATCACCAGGATAGAAGACTCTGTGGAACTGGTTTTGGGCAGAAAAGCCATGCTTCCTTTGGTCACAAAGGACTACGATCTATCTTTTGAACCACTGGACCAATTTGGATGATTTTGATATATGTTTGTATTTGGAGTATGCTGATTCTGAGAATGTAGTTTTATGTGAATGTGATGCATACTTTTCAAGTTATGAATAATGTGGAAACATTTTTATTTCTCTGCTTGTGCTAATTACATTACCCATTGTGTAAGGTAATTGTATCACCGGCAGAGGGGAGGATTTTGTGTGGGAGTGTCTGAGTGTATTGTATGTGTTCCAAAACCCTGTGTGTGGTACTAATGTGTAAGAATGTGTACATAAGAACAATAAACCCACAGCTCTGTCTGTTCACTGCTTGACCCTCAACACGGAGCTTTGTCTCGTTCTTGGGGGGATTTATTGTACGCTGTTCCAGTTTGACTGCTAGGAGTGTAAACCTATTCGCATGGTTTTTCCTATTCGGCTGTTTACAGCATTTGTATGGTTTCCTGTTCGGCGGATTGGTGTTCTGCAGTAGCTGTGTCTGTGTCTCTGGAAGGGAAGATCTACTAAACGGCGGTTTAACCCTTTTATGCTGAGGGTGCCGTTACATTGATGATTTGTTGTTATGTAGCCCTAGCTATGAGGCAAGCACTGTGGATACTGTCAGTTTGTTCAAATACTTAGCAACTGTGGGTCACAAGGTTGCAAAACACAAAATGCAATTGTGTAAATCAAAGCTTGATTACTTAGGTTTTGTTCTGGCTTCAGGCACCAGACAATTGAGTCCAAAACGTATTGAGATCATTCATAGGATTCCTAAACTCACTACTCGGAAGGAGTTGCCCACCTTCCTCGGCATGATTAATTACTGCCGCCAACGGATCCCTGAATTCTCCCATTATGACTCAATCCTAAGGGAGGCTGTACGTTCTGACAGCCATGAAAATGTCTTCTGGTCACCAGACATGCTAGCTGCGTATAATGCCCTCAAAGTTGCTATTGTGCAAGCCCTAGCTTTAGGACTACCTGTGTATTGTAAACCATTTCATTTGTATGCTCGGGACAACTGTAAAACCATGGCCGCGGTCTGTGCACAAGAGCACGGAGGCGGTATGCGTCCCATAGCATTCTTTTCCAAAGTAGTTCCAGCTCCGGTACAGGGTATGCCGGCGTGTCTCAGAGCAGTGGCAGCATGGGATTACAGCAGAACCATTGGGTAGGGCACACTAGGCCATCCTACAATACTCCATACCAGTCACCAGGTCACTCAGCTTATAAAAAAATCTCACCACACAACACATGACAGCTCAGCGCTTAAGTGGTTATGAGATTCTTCTTCTTAATACACAGAATCTGTCTATTGTCTATAGTCCTGTTAATTCTGGTCCTATGTCTGTTTTGCATGCTATTCTCACTTCTGCATCTGACTCTGTGTCTATACCATCTGAGCCTCATAATTGCATTGAACAAATACATATTGCCACATCTCCCAGAGCAGACCTCTCCTCCACAGCATTCAGTGGCCCGAGTATGACCACTGTCTTTGTGGATGACTCTTGTTCCAGACCAAATGACGGTACGTACCTCACAGGCTATGCCGTGGTACAGCTACCTGATAAAATCATTGAAGCTAACACTATTTTCCAGCCATCTGCACAAGCTGCAGAACTCATTGCTCTCACACGTGCCTGTCAGCTTTTCTCAGGACAGCGACTGAACATTTACACAGACTCACGATATGCTCATGGGGTAGTGCATGATTTTGGTGTGATTTGGAAACAAAGAGGCTTTGTAGGAGTTGATGGAAAAGCCATTTCACACACAAATCTCATCCAATCACTCCTAGATGCTATCCTACTCCCATCAGAAGTAGCTGTTATCCAAAGCACACACTCTGGGTAGTGATGACATTTCCAGAGGTAATGCCTTGGCTGACAAAGTGCCAAAGAAGTTGCAGCCGAGACTCTTTATTATGAAATGTTTCCTGCTATGCTCACACGTCCCACATGCCCTACTGACAGTTTGCTTTTGCAGCTCCAAGCCTTTGCAACGCAAACTGACTTTGATTTTTGGATTAAACAAGGTTTAGAGAAAGATCAGAATGATCTTTTCTCTAAAGAGGGAATAATAGGCATACCTGAAGCCAGCTGCTTTATTTTCATCAGTCAGGCACATGGTCCCGGTCACAGAAGCATAGCAAGCACCATCCAATTCCTCATGAATTAATTTTAAATTAGGAATCTCAGGCAGCATGTACAGTCTTTTGTAAGATCGTGTGAACCATGTATGAGAACACATCCTAATATTCCACACAAATCACAGCACGAACATTTGCCTCCTCCAGCTGCTCCTTTTACACACTTACAGATTGATTCTACTCATGTACCCAAAATTGGTAAGAAACAGCAATACATAATGGTCATAGTTGATCAGTTTAGTAGATGGCCCGAGGCCTTTGTGACATCTAGGGAAGATTCTAGGACTGTAGTGAAGATTCTTGCTACTGAAATTATTCCCAGGTATGGCTGCCCTCTGCAGATTAACTCTGATAATGGCTCGGTTTTTGCCAGTAAGGTTAAAAGGCAATGTGCCCTGGATGATCTGAACAGAGACAAGTGGGCAGCCATTCTAAGCGGTACCGAGCAGTACTCAGACATCCATAATTATGAGCCTATAGGAGGATGCTTTGAGGGCTCAGGAAGAATCACAAATATTTTTTTTGCTGAGTGGATTTTCCCGGATGCACCGGGCAGCCAAGAACTGGGTTGCCAGGCAATCTCTTTGGACAACGCTCGGCAACTACTACTGCTAGAGCAGTTCTTTGATCACATGCCTACAGAGATCCGGGACTGGGTGAGAGACCGTAAGTAGGTGAGCACTTGGGAAATGGTGATCACAATATAGTGTCCTTTACTAAATATACTATACTAAATATACTAAAACATAATTTTAAAAAGGCCAATTTCTATACGTTAAGGGCAGCTTTACAATATATTGACTGGCATAATCTTTTTAGTGAAAAGAACACTGAGGATAAATGGAACATCTTCCAACAAATATTAGAAAAGTACATTTCTCAGTATGTACCATTGGGTAATAAATGTAAAAGAAACAAATTAAAACCAATGGCTTACCAGAGAAGTAAAACAAGAGATTAAAAATAAGAAAAGGGCATTTAAAGCATTTAAATTGGACAAATCAGATGCATCCTATAAAAGATATAAGGAAGCCAATAATACTTGCAAAAAGGTGATTAGATTTGCTAAACTTCAAAATGAAAACATGATAGAGTAAAACAAACCTCAGAGCATTTTTAAGTACATAAATTATAAAAAAAAAAAAAAATGAACGTGTAGGTACACTAAAAACTGAAACGGGAGTGTTAGTTAATGAAGACCAGGAAAAGGCAGGAATTTCAAATAACGATTTCTCCTCTGTATATATTAAGGAAGAACCCATGGCAAAAGATGTGCAAATGATTGCTACTAAAAACTTGCAGAATAATTGGAATTGGTTAACGCAAGAGAAGGTGCTGCAGCAGCTAAAGAAAGTTAATATAAACAAAGCTCCAGGGCCTGACGGTATCCATCCATGAGCACTTAAGGAACTAAGTGAACCTCTGTTTTTAAATTTTCAAGATTCTTTTCTTTCAGGAAGAGTTCCGGAGGATTGGAGGAAGACAGATGTGGTTCCTATATTCAAAAAGGGTTCAAAATCCTTGCCTGTAAATTATAAACCTGTGAGCTTAATTTTTGTGGGTCGGAAAATATTTGAAAGGTTATTAAGGGATAATATTCAAGAATTCCTTGAAAAGAACATGGTTATCAGCAAAAATCAGCATGGTTTTGTGAAGCACAGGTCATGTCAAATTAACTTGATTGTGTTCTACAAATATGTAAGTAGAAGTAAAGATCAGGGTGTTGCAGTGGATGTGATCTATTTGGATTAGTGATGTCGCGAACACTAAATTTTTGGTTCGCGAACTTCCGCAAATGTTCGCGAACTTCCGCAAATGTTCGCGAACTGGCGAGCCGGGCGAACCGCCATAGACTTCAATGGGCAGGCGAATTTTAAAACACACAGGGACTCTTTCTGGCCACAATAGTGATGGAAAAGTTGTTTCAAGGGGACTAACACCTGGACTGCGGCATGCCGGAGGGGGATCCATGGCAAAACTCCCATGGAAAATTACACAGTTGATGCAGAGTCTGGTTTTAATCCATAAAGGACAGAAATCACCTAACATTCATAAATCACAATGGATATGGATTGATATCTGACATATGACATATTGAAACAGAGCAGAATAGGGACTGTTCCCCCTACATAGGGTCACTTGGCAGGTATGGATTGACACCTGTCCTCAGAGACCATGATACACACTGACACAGAGCAGAATAGAGACTGTTCCTCCTACATAGGGTCACTTTGCAGATATGGATTGACACATGTCCTCAGAGACCATGATACACACTGACACAGAGCAGAATAGAGACTGTTCTCATACATAGTTTCACTTGGCAGATATGGATTGACACCTGTCCTCAGAGACCATGATACACACTGACACAGAGCAGAATAGAGACTGTTCTCCTACATAGGGTCACTTGGCAGATATGGATTGACACCTGTCCTCAGAGCCCCTGATACACACTGAGCAGAATAGTTACATAGCTGAAAAGAGACTTGCGTCCATCAAGTTCAGCCTACCTCATATTTGTTTTTTGCTGTTGATCCAAAAGAAGGCAAAAAAAAACAGTTTGAAGCACAATTTTGCAACAAGCTAGGAAAAAAATTCCTTCTTGACCCCAGAATGGCAGTCAGATTTATCCTTGGATCAAGCATTTATTACCCTACATTGAAAGATTATATCCTTGAATATTCTGTTCTTGCAAGTATGCATCTAGTAGCTGTTTGAACATCTGTATGGACTCTGATAAAACCACTTCTTCAGGCAGAGAATTCCACATCCTGATTGTTCTTACAGTAAAACCTTTCCTTTGCCTTAGATGAAATCTTCTTTCTTCCAGTCTAAATGCATGGCCTCGTGTCCTATGTAAAGTCCGGTTTGTGAATAGATTTCCACACAATGGTTTGTATTGGCCCCGAATATATTTGTATAATGTTATCATATCCCCTCTCAGGCGACGTTTTTCTAAACTAAATAGGTTTAAGTTTGTTAACCTTTCTTCATAGCCGATATGTTCCATTCCTTTTATTAATTTTGTAGCCCGCCTCTGCACTTTTTCTAGTGCCATAATATCCTTCTTTAGAACAGGTGCCCAAAATTGCACAGCATATTCAATATGGGGTCTTACCAGTGATTTATAAAGAGGCAAAATTATATTTTTGCCCCGAGAATGAATGCCCTTTTTCATGCATAACAATACCTTACTGGCCTTGGCCACTGCTGATTGACATTGCACATTGTTGCATAGTTTGTTGTCTATAACAATTCCCAAGTCCTTTTCATGTGTTGTTATCCCTAATTGGCTTCCATTAAGGGTATACGTTGCTTGTGTATTCTTTACGCCGAAGTGCATAACTTTGCATTTTTCAACATTAAATTTCATCTGCCATTTGAGTGCCCAGTCCCCCAGTCTATCTAAATCCCTCTGCAGCAAAGTAATATCTTGCTCACATTTTTTTTTGTTAAATCTGTTTTTATTGATAAGTGGTTCAAACAAGCAGTACATACTTTAAAAAGCTTTACAAGTTAAGACGCGCAGGTCTCCAGCATACCACCAATTTGAGGATATTAATCACATTGTGTCGGGGTTCTCGTCCGTATTTCCCCGTGAGTTTCATTACTTATTTTATTTTATTGTTTTTTTATTTTTTTTGTAAATCTTTTTTGTTATATGACAGAGTGAAATAACAGTCGTAATAATGCAAAATATTTGACATCGTGCAGTACACCAAAATATGCAGGTCCGGAGGGGAGGGCCTGTACAGTTTTTGTAACGTAAAGGTTTCGTTTCCCTCATTCCTCACACTCTGTAGTTCCATCTCCCCACCTCCTTCCATTTGACTTTATTACTTTGCCTCGTTGTGTCAAGCGATAGAATATGTGAGTGTCCCTAGGTGCGAGTTAGTGAGATATGTAAGGTAGGGAGATATAACGTTGAGACTCACGGGTCTTTGCGTTCCAGATGTGTATGCGGGTCTATAGCGTGCCATGAGAGTAAGTTTAGTGGATTGTATAATACGTGTCCCCGTTTCTAGTGAGTTATCTTATATGGCTAGGGGTGTTGTCATTACTACTTATAGCAGTGCCTACAGTCCGTGAAGTTTCCCATGCGTGATGCCTTAGAGTCGTTAGTGGTGTGTGTGGAGTTAAGATGTTGCGTGTCTGTTATATGAGCGTAAGCTCTACTTTTGACATTTTGGTACTGGAACGTTTAACAAGGCATGGTTTGACTCGTGTTTCCCTGGGGAGTCTGAACACTCCTCAAATCCCGTCAGGGCTGGGTGTTCCTCTTTTTAGAGTTTCAGAAGTCGATAGATTTTTTCTTTTTCTCTTACCCTTCCCCCTTTTCCCCCCTTTGTTTTTATGGTAATGTATCTCTCCGATCCCGATCCTGATACCCCGGTTCCGGGGCCCGTCCAGCGAAGTGGAAGAGAGAGAGAGAGGTAAGAAGAGAGAAGAAGAAAAGAAGAAGAAGAAGAAAGAGATAGAGGGAGAGAAAATAATTAAAAAA